TGCTTATCCCGACCATTTTATTTCTAATTGAGTTGAGGTGTGCTAGTCTGCTTTCATAGGTCATCAATGTGGAGTGAAGTTCTCCCCAAGAGATGTGATCCCTACTGTTGATTTGGACAATAATTGGTGTATAGTCTTCATCACGACCTGCTAAAACTTAAGTAATCAGGTCTGATTGAGTGATAGTTTTCCAGCAATTTCCAGATTATCAACAAGCTGTTTGCCTTTATTTAAGTACTGATCAATATTCATGTTTCCTTTCCTTGATTTTTGGAGTTCACCAGTGAGAAAGGTGATCCTAGATCTATTTTGGACTCCATAACTCTCCTCAATGGTAGTCCATAATTCATTTGAGTTTGTTGCACACATCACTCTCATGGCTATATCCGGTGTTATTGAAGAGTAAAACCATCCCATTAGCAGCTGGTCTGCGGACATCCATTGGCAATATTCTAGATTATTAACCATCTCAACACTAGTTCCAACTTCACCAGTAATTTGAGTGCTAGTGAATTCTTGAGGACACACCTTTATCCCAAGAATATACGCTTTCAGATTATGTTCTCGAATGATTGGGAGAATCATGTTTTTCAAGAGCAGATAATTATTCTTATCTAGCTTCACAGACACAATTTGGGTAAGGTTGACACCAAAGGGTTTGAGGTGATTGTTTCCAAGTGGTGGTGCAACAGTGCTACAGGAAATGGATGCAAGAGTAGTGGCAGGGTAGCATTTTGTGGTGTGTTACTGGCATTGGCCATGGTAGCTCTGATACCAAGTTAAAGATTTAAAAGAAAGCAAGATGATGATCAACGGGTTTTTCTCTTTTTTGTTACACATATTCTTCCTACTACTGCTAGATTATATAATATAAGGTATTGTTACAAGAATGATCTAGAACCTATGGTTGTTAGGTAGTTCCTTAATTTGTGGATCATGTTGGAATCTTTATACAACAACTTGGTGATCCAAATGAACACAAAGCAAACGATTATGACAGCAAGGAGCGAAGCTGCTGAATCATCGAATGAGTTGGATAGTAGTCTGTACTGACGTGGGGCTGATAAGGAGTGGATATGTAAATATTAATTCTCAATAAAAATAGTATGGAATTGGAACCAGTTTAGTCCAATAATCTTCACTACCATCTTCTCTCAAAACCCATATATCAATTTTTGTCGAATAACTCAAAGAAACATAAAGTCGCCCTCCCGAAACCATCAACATTGCATCGTCAATCCCTGTTTCATACTTGGGTTTGCATACCAATTCTAATATATCAGTTGTAATTCCATGTGCCACAATAAACCAATCTCTCAGGTTATTTGTGGGCATAGTACTTTCCAATGGATAGCTCCATTCACACATACACCGCAGCCAGTGAATACGAATCCAGAAGGGTCGTTAATGATTCTACATGAATCGATTTTTGAACTGTACACCTTGAAAAAAGCATTAATTTCATCCAAATCATCAATCGTGAAACCAATTTCTAAAAAATTTGTATTCATCAGTAGATTCATCATAAGCAAACCCGTATTCCTTATCAAATCTATCAATACTAGAAATTGGTAATTCTCGAGACTTTCTAATTGCTGGGTTCAAAATAATAACAGTATTGAGATCTAAAACTAGGCACACCAACCCATTGCAAGAACCCACAATCCGTAGCATAGTCACGGGATCAGATAAAGGACAATCAAGCGAAATAATATCCATAGATGGGATTTCTTCTATTTCATCGTAAAGGGGACAAGTGCA